CTTTCAGACTCAGGCTTTTTGAATCCCTGTCCCTTTCTGGATCAGTTTATTTAGAGTGTTCTTCCTAATATTACTTTAATGTATATATTAGTCCAGATCCATTTATTATGAACTGTATGAGATAACACCCTAAGGGTATGTGCAAATGTTAAACTTAGCCATGACCTAACATGGCTAGGGTTAGGTCAGTCTTAAATGGCAATCTGTACAGATAATTATGAAGATTAGACTGGAGGAAAAAATGGCTGGTGAAAAATGAATTAGTTCACATAAGGAGGTGAACTAAGTTAGATGGGGAACAGATTGGCCTGAGGTACCAAATGGCTGCACAGGTTTGGACTGCAGCCTCAGGGCTGGGAAAGCCCAGCCGCTCGCTCCAGCCCTGGGCCTGTCCTTCTACACACCCCTCCCCTCAACCTGACTGGGCTATTTTTAGCCTTCTGACTTCCCCAGTCCCAGACAGACAACTCTCCCTGGGTTATCAGCAAACCTAGAGGTAGTCAAGAAACCTAGATAGAAGTCTGTAATTTGCTTAATTTGTTAAAAGCAATGTTGAAGGAATTATGCTTTGAAAATTATTGCTTGCCAATCTCTTCCTTTGTGTTCCTTGGCTCTTGTTTGCTTCCTTTTCTCACTTCAGAGTTCTCACTTGCATTGCTAGGCAATATGCCAAGAAGCCAAAGCACTTAAGCAGAGCTGTTTAGTTCTGCTTCTTGTCTAGTGTCAGTCACAGCACTTGTGAGTCGGCTATTTCTGATACCACCATCCCTTAATATTACAAGGTATCTTATGCCATTATGTTTCAAAATCATGTCAAGAAGACACGTCATTCTGTAGGTACAGGAAATGAGCACTCTGAGGTACAATGGTAGCAAGTACTTAGCAATGACATTAATCTTTCCCTTCCTTACCTCCTTATCTTATATCTTTATGTGTGTGTATCTATCTATCTATATGTATATATGTGTGTGTGTGTGTGTGTGTGTATATACCTTGTAATATATATTTATATGCGTGTATATGTGTGTGTGTGTATGAATGTGTCTATGTATGTATGTGTGTATAGATATATGTATGTATATGTGTGCATGTATTAGGGGTGTGTGAAATGGGCTGTATTTGATTTGGATTCAGGGACAGTGATTTAATTTGTTGATTCAGGTCACTGTCCTGATTTGATTCGGCCAAATCCAAATCTGAAGATTCAATGCTGATTCAGAGAATCAGTAATTGGGCTATAGACACAGCTTTAAATGTTTTTTCTATATACCTCGAGGTTCCAGGTGTGGCTCGTGAATGCTGCAATTGTGGAGTGGATGGAGCATCCCACAGGAGCGTGGGGGAGCCACCTACATGCTCAGCAGCAAACCTGGAAGTGGACCGGAAGTACTTTTGGCCCTCGGAAGTCCACTTCTGGGTCCACCGCCGAGCATGCCGGGGGGAACCCCGGGTGCCCCCCCCCAGACCCAGGAGGCACCAGTCACTGAGCCAGGAGGATACGGGAGGGCCTCCCAGTGTACTTCCCGGCAGACCCGGAAGTAGACCAGAAGTGCTTCTGGTCCTCTTCCAGGTCTGCTGCTGAACACTCTGGGGACCCACCCATGCTCCTGTGAGATGCTCCATCCACCTCAGCATCTCAGCATTCACGAGCCACCTGGTACCTTGAGGTATATAGAAAAAACATTTAAAGTTGTGTCTCTGTCCAAATCATTGAATCTTTCTGAATATCTGTGAATCAATTCAGAGAAATTAAAGTGTCTCCAGATTCAATTGGGATTCAGAGATTTGGCCACTGAATTGAGTTGAATCTCTACCGAACCAAATCAGTGACCAAAGCTTCGCACAGCCCTAGTGTGTGTGTGTGTGTTTATATCTGTGTGTATATACATACATGTATGTATGTGTATGTGTGTGTGTATGGGTGAGCAGGAGGCTTGAACCTTCTGCCACTTTAAATGCAGGCTGGCTGTGGCTAAAACAGGCTGGAGTTGGCAGGAAGGCAGACGGGCCATGCTGGAGAAGCAGGCTGCAGGTGTGGCCAGAGGTGATTGTGGAGTCATCTGACCCAGGAAAAGGGCTTGATTTAGACTAGATATAAGCCTAAGCCCTGCGTTGAACCATCAGTAACGTCTTGGAGGCTGCTAAGGAAACATCTACTGAGCAGGATGGCTGCAGCTCTGGAATGTCAGCAAGGAGAGTGCAGCCTTTAGCAGTCTGGAGGTTTGGGGAGGAACTAAAGGGGTGGAGCAGGTTCCTGGAGACCCAGTGAGTGATGAGGGGTCCAGGGCCTAGGGAAATCCCAAGTGTGTGGGACCTGATAAGAAGTCTGAGGCCTAGAAAGAGGCTGAGAGTGTGGGTCTGAAGCAGGGGCAGGAGTGCGAGTCTGAAGAAGAGTCCAGAGGACCTATTGAGGGGTCCAGATGAGTCCAAAAGGACCAGAGACTGAGAAAGCTGGAGCCAGGGGGCCCAGAGGTGAGACTGAGCCAGGGCTAGGGTTAGGGTTTTGGGCACCAAACTACAGAAAGGATAAGGAGAAACTGGAAAAAGTCTAGTGGTGTATTCCTTCTTTGTGGCTGCCCCCTGCTTCCACTGCCTATACATCTCATTCTTTGCCCCAAGTCTTTCCTGAAGCTCCCTGTTCAGCCAAGGGGGGCTTTTTTATCCCCTTAGTTCCTTTCCTGCATAAGGGGATAGACTCCTTTTGTGCCCCAAGTATCACTCCCTTGAGAAACTTTCAACACTCTTGGACCCCCATTAGCCCGATGCTCTTGAGTTTGGTCACCTCACTAACTAGGTATCTAAGTTTAATAACGTTGGCCCTTCTGAAGTCTAAAACTTTAGCATCACTGGATATTTTTCTCCCCCTTCACTGGATAGTGAACTCTACCAAATTGTGATCACTATCACCCAGGTTACTGTGTACCCGCAGGTCCCCCATGAGATCATCCCCTGTTGCTAAGACCAGGTCTAGCAACGCTCTACCCCTGATGGGACTGGACACCATCTGGGTTAGGTGTAGGTCCTGCACACAGTGTAAGAACCTCTTTAAGCAGCTTGTTTTGGCCACTTGTTCCTCCCAGCTGATGTCCGGGTAATTTAGGTCCCTCATGACCACTGCCTCCCTTGCCTGTATGACATCAGAAAGCTGCTTGGAGAATCTCATCTAGCTCGTCATCCTAGTGAGAAGGTCTGTAGTAGACCCCCACTACCAAGTCCTTTTCCCCTGGCCTCCCCTTGATCCTGACCAACAGTGCCTCAGTATTCCCCTCCTCTACTCCTGCCTTGATGACAGAAGATGCGTACTGCTCCTTAACATAGAAAGCTACACCCCTGCCTTTCTCCCTACTCTGTCTCATCTATACAAGCTGTACCCCTCAATGCCTACTGCCCAGTCATGCATAGCATTGCACCATGTTTCAGTTAAGCCAACTAGGTCATACTGTGTGCTAACAAGCAGGAGTGTGAGTTCCTCTTCCTTGTTCCCCATACTCCTGGCATTTGTGTAAAGACATGTTAGCCCCCCAGTGGGTGCTCTTGGTGTCCCTTTGCCTTGATGGCATGTGTTCCCTTTAGTGCTTACCTGGTTAGGTCTGGTGCCTTGTTTGTGGCTTTCCAACCCTGGGTTCTCATCAACCACCAGTTCCCCGTCCCCCGTCGAACCTAGTTTAAAGCTCTTCAGAGGAGATCAGCCAACCTGCGGAAGAACAGATGCTTACCTCTAGGAGAGAGATGAAGATTGTCCCACCCTAGGAAGACTTCTCCCTGAAAGTGCTGGTCGTGGTTGCAGAATCCGAATCCCTCCTGAAGACACCATCTCTGGAGCTGCCGGATTGTGAAATCTCCATCCTTGGAGATTTTTAAGACCCAACTAGATAAAGCCTTGGCTGGGATGATCTAGTTGAGGATGGTCCTGCTTTGAGCACGGGGTTGGACTACATGCCCTTCTGAGATCCCTTCCAACCCCAACTTTCTATGATCCTATGAAGATGACTAAGGTAGAGCCCTGCGTCTGAGAGTGGGCCCAGCAGAGAGAACAAGAGCCCTGAGGCTGTGAGTGGGCCAATCAGGCACATCAGGAGCCCTGAGATTGAGAGTGGGACTCAGCAGGCAGAGTTGGAGCCTTAAGAAGCAGTGGGACCAGAAGGTTCCAGAGGCCTAGAGAAAGGCCAGGAAAGAACAGAACCAGAAGGGTCCAGAGGCATAGAGATGAGCTGGAAAAGAGTGAGACCAGATGTGTGACCAGAGGGGCTAGAAAAGAATGGAACCAACAAGGTCCTGAGGCCCAGAGAAGGACTGGTGAGAACCCAGAGAAAGGACTGAGTGGCATACCAAAGCGATTTGAGAGCCCAGACAGGGGCCAAGCGTATTGGTTGGAAATAAGTGACAACAATGATTTCTAACACCTATGAGGCATGGGCTGCGGTGTAGGGACAGATTGAATCCATGCAATTAACCCATCTAGCAGTGACCCCAGACACCTGGGGTCATTAAAGTAAGACCAGGGAAGCCTCCCATATTTAAATAACAATTACATCAAGGCATGGTGGGTGAAAAAAAAGGGCTGATTGCCAATAGAGCAAGGTAAAATAGAAAAAAAAGGGCATCCAGGGGATATGCAGCCACCCGTGGAGATAGTGCCCATATATAATATGCCTATAAACATAAGGTAAACATATATGCAGCATTTCATTATTAACAAAGAGTTTGTTTTGCTTTATCAAATACCAACTCCTGGAAAATAAATGTAAATATTAGTGGAAGGCTTGTTTTATATCAAAAGTTAATGTTTCATATGAAGGAAGCAATAGATTTATTTTTGTTTTGAATACCTTGATAATATAACAGTACTCTTTTTAAAAACTGTGATGATGCTCTAAAGATTTCCAAGTAACTTTTATGTTGTATTCCTTTGTAGGTTTCTGGTCATTTGAATGTTTGTGCCAAATGAGTATATTTATGTATTTATTTTAATGTATGTATTTATTTTTCTTTCTTCATAGATATTTCGTTGATCATAATTCAGAAGAAGATAGATATTTCACCATTGATGCTAACACTGGAACCATTAAGACTGCCAAGATCTTTGACAGAGAGGAAACACCTTGGTATAACATTACAGTTGCTGCTTCTGAGATAGGTAAATAACATGTTTAATAAGTAATGTAAAATAAAAGATTCCTTATCTTGTGAATGAAGGAGCAATGATTGCTTTTAAGGAATATTATTCTGAGAAACTACAGGTTCTTTTCAAAGACAGACCTTTTTCACAGATTATGAGGTTAAAGAGGATTTGTGAATATATTTTTTCTAATCAATAACTTATTTTTATTCAAATCTGTGGTAAATCTGTGAACAGCAACTCATCTAGATCCTTCTGTGTGGTTTACATTTCTTTAATAATATCTGTTGGTGTTGGTTGCTGTTTAGTAACATAGTGTAAGCTCTCAATTTCAACCTTTCCCTGTTGTAGTTGCTGTTAAAATATTAGTGAAAACTAATGATTTGCACATTAATAGGGTCAATATTAACTTAAATCTGGCTCATCAATGTGTGAGATTCTAAAGCTTGACCTTTTAATATATAGGTTACTACATAATGAATGATAAGGAGGTATATTTCCCTGGATACTCAAAAAGCTTCCCTATCAAAGACTGATGAAGTATCCTGGCCTCAGACAAGGATGCCAGTGTGTCAAAAATGTCTAATCAGATAGTCCCAGATAATTGATTTTGCATGATATAGTTGCACATTTTTTATAAACCAACACAACTTGAAAACTCTACAGACTAATTTTTTCCACTTCTTTTTTCTTCTAGGAAATTAGATGTCCTTACAGTTCTATTAACTTATTTGTCTTTCAAGAATACCCAGGCTACTAAGTGCCTATACTCCTTTTGAAAAATGGAGCTAGCCAATTCCTCTATTTTTACTGATAACTAAGAAAGAAGCAAATTGTCTGAGGGACACTGCAGTTTAGTGATACAGTTTGAATTCTGCTTCTACTGCTTCTACAAACTTTTTCTATGAAAGGGAAATAACTGCTTTAGAATATAGAATTGCTGCTCTTTGTGGAAGTGGAATTAAACTCTGACCTGTTGAAATATCTTGGGGAACTGAGAATTCTGAATTTAAATGAAAAAGAGATCAAAAAGTAATTTTGTTTCATATTTTTATCAGAGCACTAATAGTCCTGCCTAAAGGCTGTATGCTGTGGAGCCTAGAACTTGTCAAGGGAAATTGTGACAGCTTTGTTTGAGCTGAAGCTGACAGAGCTTTTGGGAGATATTTACATTGCAGGAGGTAATCTTGCAGCCCTGAGAACTTGGGTTCTCAAGCATAGATTCACAAGGTTTCAAGGCTCCTTGCACTAAATCACAACTATAACCACTATTTTGTCCATAGCCGACTTTAAAAACAAAAGATGCAAACGTGTTATTTCTATCATTTCTTCTCCTGTTTGGTTTTTTTTTTCCCCATTGCTGTATTCCAACATCATCAAATGATGCAATGCAATGTAGATCCATGAAAATAGCCACCAGTATTCATGAGGTTTCCATCTAGTCTCATCAGCTACTGGCTAAAATGGAAGCTGTTTTTCAGTTTAATTTATAGACAGTGCTACCACCATATGCTAGAGAATGAGTACCTTATATATTTTTTATGAGAGCAGCAAATTGATTTTTATTATCGTACCTGCTTTTGGGAATGAGTTAATATTTGAACTAAGTAAATTTCTGTAGTAAATAGTAAAATCTTGAGGTTTATGGTTATTCATAAAAACCACGGCCACAGAGATCTCCACATGCTTTACAGTGTCTGTGCATAATGTCTTATTTCAGTGCAGCATGAGCTAAAATATAATGTAGGCCTAATCATAAACAGGTGTGCAGTCAGAGTGAGCTTTAATTAAGATCTAAAAGCCACATTGGGGTATACATATGAAACTGAAAGTGGAAAGGAGTAGCAGCTTTCCAGGTTTTTTGGGCAACCATCCAAATGTAACTATTTTTTAGAAATAAATCTCAATAGCATTAAACTTAAATGTAGCTTTTCTATGCATTATTTATTTCATGTAGTCAACTAAGTGTCACTGTGCATAGCACAGTAAGAAAGATGATATTTCTGACTAAAAGAAAATGGGATGAGTTATGGTGATGAAATACCATTTTTTAAAGATGGCCTGCTTGGAATTCTCTATCTAAAGTGCTCTTTGTTATATGAGGAAAAGGGCCTTCCTATCTCTAACTGGTTTCTTTCCCCATGTCTTTTCGTTCTTAAAATGGGGAACTATTTGGAGAGATTTGGAAATCTGCAATAGATTAAAAAAAAGATTTTTTTTTTAATTGAAAAAATGAGACAAGTTAAACTTTGATTATGTTTCTGGTCCTTTTCTTCTGGAACCCATTTCAGATCCAATCAGAACTTGGCAAATGTACCTGGTACTTATCAAGGAGTTTTTAAACCAGGAGTTTTCATCACCCTTTTTTACTCAGAGAGGTTCCCAAATATTGCATTGTCATGGCTTTGAATTTCAAGTCTATATGCTAGTCATTGTAGAATTAAGCCAAGAAATTACTAGTGGGTGGAACTCCCTGGCCATATCCTAATAGGCACTTTTACTTGTGCTCTGGAGGGGTAGGGTGGCACTTTAATTAGAGAGGCCCCAAAAGCTGTCCTAATTAAAGTGCCACTGCACCTCCTGTATCAGCATTCACTTGAAAATGGCAGCAGGGGCAATTGAACTAAAGCTCAACAAGTTCAACAAGCTTTAGTTCAAGCGCTCCCATCACCATTTTTAAGTGCAGGGATGCTGATACATGAGATGTAGGAGGCTGCTAGAGCGGGGCAATTGCTATGCTATGCTATGCTCCAGCAGACTCTATTAATCGAGTCTGCTTTGACACACGTTCCAGCACATCAGAACAGCCTTAGCACTTATATATAGGTGCCCAGTCTGACCAGACAGGTCATTGTCTCCAAGTCAAGCTTACATACTAAGAAGTTGCTGATGTCCATTTCCTTAGCCAGGAACATTGAAGAAATCACAAATACCCCGAAAGTGTACCACATTAATGATCAGTGAGCACGGTTCTCTATCAATACAATATAATGGATTCAGCTATCTATTAGAAATGTTCACCTGTCCCTGTCAATATTTCTCTGTCTTTCTTGGGTTTTGTTTTAGCCAGTTGCCCTTTATGCAGCTACTTATCTTATGGCCTTGTATTTGATGTGAAGGAGATTTAGATTACTGAATGCCTGAATGTACAGGCATTCATTCTAACAAGAGAGACTCTCTCACAGAGTGTGTGTCAACCTGGAAGATCTGTCAGATGGTCTGTGTTTTCTTCTGGAGAAACTGAAAGAATGCCTGTATGCTGGTAATTTCTACTGGAAGAGATGTGGCCTAAAAATGTATAGTAAATGAAAGAAAAAACAATACATGTATAAATATGAACTGGTAATTTTAAACTGGATGGTTTCAGTGAGAGCACATTACATCTTACTGGCCTGTTAGATTTCTTTGAAAAAGTTAATGAAATAGCAGGTTAAGGAAAGCCACCCTACATGGATTGCTTGGATTTTCTAAAGGCTTTTGACAAGGTCTCTGACAGCAGATTCTTAAGGGAAATAAATGACTACTGGGTAGGTGAGATGAATGCTGCAGTAGATTAAAATCTGTAGTGTGAGGAGCCTGGCCTCTGTGAATTGTCATCTCTCTGAGGCAGGAGGGGGACAGGAAATTAAGATACCCTTCGGATTAAGGTACCCTAGAGACTGATTTGGGGATGAGTGTTGATTTGAGTACTTTGTCATGAATGAAATAGTTAGTAGGGTAGTGAAATCGGACTATGGTAAACACACTTGATGCCTCTACATGTTCATTAATGTTCCATAATTATGGCACATTAAGTTTAGTACCTGTAATGACAGGTACTAATTTAATGTGCCATAATCAGTGCTACTGCACATTAGCACAGATGAACATTATTTAAGCGATTGTTCATGCAAATTAGACTAAATCTATGGCAAACTGGCACAGTTTTTGCCAGCCATGATCATTGACAGTAGAATTAGTCTTCTGTGCATTAAGCATCTCGTGTAGATGTGCCCACTGCGTTACTAAGAAGTAAGGGCAAATGCAACTTTTTGAAGGATCTAAGGATATTGGAAGCTGGGCAGTGAAGTATCAAGGTGCATTCAAGCATCCATATATGCTTAGTGATACAAATAGGAGGAAAAAATGTAAACTTCCAGCTTATACAGATACATTCTGAAGAAAAGTCTCCCCAAATTGAGATAATGCTGAAAATGACAAACCAAAATCTTGGCTACATTAAAAGGAAGGTGGGAGAGTCCAAAGTGGAACTAAAGCACTAATAGGTATTTCTTCAGCTCTGAAGCCAGTTCTACTTCAAAGGTAACTTATAGTTTGAACTCTTCAGAGCAATATCCACTATAAATGGGAAAGCTAAAAATGTCCCTGGAGCTTTTTGGTCCAGTAATAGGGGGTAAGACCTATGGGGAAAAATAAGCACTAACTATATGAAGGTGCCTGAGGATGTCTTGCTCTGAAAAATAGAACGAGAATGACATGCTGCATCAAAGGTCCCAGCCTAGCAAAATATCAAGGAGGGCTTTGTCAGGAAGCCTGTTTTGGCATTAATACTAACAATGGCACCAAATTTTTCTGAGATGTGCCATGGAAGAGACAGTGCACAGTCAGCCTGTGAACATTTCAGCAATATATCATAAACCAAGAGTTTATCAAGACTCAAGCATATTGGGCATAAGAATATCCAGAGTTGTATTAGTAAACATGGATTTTGGAATAGATATAGGTACTGGCACTTCAGTGTATAAGCCAACTATTAGGTACCAGGGATTGAAAGGACAGACCCATCCAGTATAAGAGTTTCTATATTCCTTTTCATCTTTCAAATGAACTATTTGACTGGTTTCAAAGTGGATGATAGTGAAAGCTAGAACGTCCTATTATTATGATGGAACAAGCCTGAATGTTATGTATGCAACAACTTATTCTTGATGGTTCCTGAGGAGGATCTTAGCCTGCAGAGCAGAGGATGAAGCAAATAAAATAATTTAAGAGTAGGATGGATACCTGATGAGGCAATG